CTGTATATTTAAAAATTATATCAAAATATAGCTCTCATGAACTCCTAAAACTCTTGTATGAAACATTTTTGTGTATCTCCTTCAACAAACCAGATATTGCCTGTCACATAAAATGTGGGACACCCGGTATACAATACTACCATTGTTTTTCTCAATTTGGAATCAACCACTCCTAAACATATTGCATCTCTCACAATAGCTCATCCACCTTATCTCCAATAAAAATTTCTGTACTTGATAAGGATATCAGTTTCCCATCAATAATTCAACAAGCTGATATTTGGATAACATGTTAAATAAAAACCAAATGAGGGCAAAATATTAAAACATGGGAGGTACAGCTGGGAGAATTCCAACAAAATGATCGATAATTCGTTTATACACTCAGATTTAGCGAGTTTCAGTCTCTATATATAAAATTAATCATATCTTAGGAAGAATTAAACAACAATAATGAAGCAATAATGAAGTGCATAAGTTACAGTAACTGCTTGCATTTCAAAATACTATTTTGAAATTAATTGTTTTCTTCCTTTCTCGAGGGTTTGTATGTTGTACTTCTCAAGTAGCACTACTTTGGAAATATCAAGGTCATAGTTACCTGTTTCTTTGAAGTGAAGATATATCAGGAATTTGTTTTGAACTTTTTCAATGTTATACTTGTGACAGTTATATTGAGGATACCAGATAATGAAAGCAATTCCAAAATGCTTCTAATTGAAGTGATATACAAATGTTTGATGCAGGTAATATTGTTGAATTGCCTAGAGTTGTACATGAGATCCAAATGATAACTCATAATCAAAAGTAACATCAAGGTCTGTTATTTCTCAAGTTCTGTTGAGTTTTATAGCGTTTATCTCGTAGCTGTATGTTATACCGACTTTTTTTCGGGAGAAGGTCATAGTATTACACTTTTGAATGTTGAATAACAATTTGTTCTATTTTGACCATACAACGATGTTATTCATATCATTTTTTAGATGTACACAATCTTCAACTGTTGATATTCTTTGGGAAATTTTCAAGTCATCTGCAACCAACATGTAGCAAGATGATGTGATATCTTTTACAAGACTGTTGATAAATAAAATAAATAACAAAGGACCCAAGTTGGAACCCTGGGGAACTCCAGACGATGCAATAAATGGACTGGACTTATGCCCTTTCACTATCACACTTTGTTTTCGATTAGATATGAACTGAAAAATTTTATCAGGTTGGGATGAAAACCAAAATCATATTCTAGGGTTCTTAGAAGAATTGGATGTGAGACTTTAGCAAAGCTTGAGCACGACTATCCAAGTTTTCAGCTACAAATTGGGTAACATTTCTAAGATTACTAACAGTTTTTAAAAAAGTCTGTTTTTCCGTTAACCAGCTGTCGCACCCCTACGAACGACAACCCTCAGAAGTCGAAACTTGTGCGAGCTAAGTATTAACGAGGTCTTACCTTTTAGCGTGTGATTCCTAACACGGGTTGGAGGATAGCAAGTGAAAATCTATCGTTCAGACTATGGTTTGAACCACCGACCAACACGGCAGTCAATTCGAGTGAGTGAACAAAGCACTCACGTCGAACCGCCTGGCTACCGACGAATAATAAAATCAAATTTCGTCAAAAAAAGTTTTTTCAGTGTTAGCCTACGAACTTCTGATATCCCCATCTATCAAAAGACTCACCTTAAATACTGCAATTTCATCTTCTTCGGCAGAGATCGGGTTAGTGTATGGGCAGACAAAGTCGATGACGTGCTCCTCCTTGCCGGTGCACGTTACACTCGGCTTTCCCTCCAGCTCCTCCCTCTCGCTCTGGGCGAGGTGGGTGGTTATGTCGAAGGAAGCCTTCGCCCTATCGACGGCGCTGTTGAAGTGCTCGTCTTCGCGGTTCAGTAACACTTTCGACATGACGCGCAGGTAAAAGGATTTGGTGGTGTTTGCGCACTTGGCCTGAGCAATGTTGAATCCGTTGGCGAACCCTTTCACTACTTTCGAAAACCTGTTGGAAGGAGGTTCATTCGTTTATGATGGGAGAATAGCGAACAAGAAGTATTTATGAGAGGCCCACAACTATATTACTTTCAATTCGATTGAAATTATACTTTATTGTCTGAAGATGAAAAAAAATTTATTGACAAAGCATTTACATACAATAATTTACATGATATTGGGTGAAAAGCATATATAGATAGCAATAAAAATCAATATAATTAATCTAGATTCATATTCATTTATTAATGGCTTTTTTTATATAATTGTGAAGTATAAGCACAGTAGATTAATACAATCGGCAGGCTCTCTTACCAGGTGATCCGCCCGAGTTGCCGGGGACCTTCAACCGCTCTTATGATGAGATTCTCATCCAACGCGTTCAGTGCTGTAGTATCGAAGGATTCGACGTTACCACGGATTAGTTATAATAAACGGTCGGATATTGATATTGTGTTTATTTGCTGTTGTTATTATTGGTTTTAGTTTTTGTAGTTGGTTATAAGTAATTTACCACAAAATTTACTACAGGATGTTGTCTATTTATTGTTTTAGCAATTTTTTTTCGTGTGTCCTTAAAAAAAAAAACTTCAATTAGATGAACAACTTTTTTAAATAACATTTCACGAGATTTTCAAAATAAGAGTACTATACTCTTGCCTCAAATATTTGAAGACTTCTCGTATATTACGTGTGTGTATTTTGTTGGGGCATGTTTAGTTTTAGGGGATGCACAAACTTTTATCAGGAATAACATTTTCTCGAAAAACCCTTAATAAAGAAGTTTCCCATATGGTGCATACTTTGAGGATCACATTGTAATGTATTTTTTCTTTTATTTCACGTTTTTATATTGAATTAAAGTTTAATTTTTTTTCTTTTTGGGCTCTGTCCCTCTGTTAGTTAAGTGGAAATTCATTATATGCGATTGATTATTCCTTTGTAAAAATAGATTTCCTGGAAAAATAATTACAAACTACTCTACTCACCTGTCAACAAGCTGATACCTCCTGAGAGACTCCAGGAGCATACCGGGCGACGCTTTTCTCAGCTCATAGTAGATGAGGATAACCCCATCGACGTCATCTCCCTTGACCGTCTCCAGCCACTGCAAGAAGTCATTCAACGCCGAGATTTCGCTCTTAGTCTTGACAAACTGCTGGGTGTTCAGATCCCGCAGGCGCCTGTAGCGGATGGTATTAACGACCCGGATACCGTGCCTACGGCTATAGATGGGATTGAGATCCGCGAAGGGCATGATGTACTGCGAAAAGGTGGAGTCTGGAGTGTAGGCTGCGATTTGAACGATCTCGTCTATGAGTCGGCGACCTGTGGTGTCGATGCCCCATCCCACCAAGCGGTATCTGCCGGTGGGGATGCCTTTCGCTGGGTTTTCCGGGGGTATGAAGATCTCGGTCCCTTCGACTAGCGCAGGGTTCTCGTCACCGGAATTTAAATTGTCGTTTTGTACCATTTTAGCCTATATCTATGAACGAAAACTTCAATTAGCAACCAGGCTGTCGAATGGATATCTTAGTCACAGAAGACTGGTCAGAATAAAAATCAATTTGATATAATGAAACACTATTATCTTTATGGAATAGTATTTTGAGGTATATGCACTATCTTATATGAATCAGCATGTCTTATACATAAGAACTAAGACACCTATACTACTTAGCCCCACGTACAAGATAGGCTTGTCAATTCAAGATAGATATTTGTGCTTCCAATCATAAAGATTTTGCACACATCAAGAATATGGTTACATAATAAAATACATTTAAAATAAATCAAACAAGTCAAAAGTATAGAACTCTATAAACAAATTATGGTCAAATCATCAAAATAAAGATAGTCAAATTCTGTTCACTAACAACCCAGATCATCATTAAAATGTCATTGATGGGGTAATAACTTTCCTGTATGATTATATGTTTAATTTTGGTTTTGAAATTATTATAGGATAACCTTTTCAGACGTAAAGGGAGCTTATTACAAAACTTAGGTGCGTAATGAGTTACAGAATAATGGCTCTTTGTTAAGCATACAAATTCAGGAGCTGCATTTCTTGTGTTATAATGTTGATGTCACTATGCATTTCAAATATGTGTTGCCTAGCACGAATCCATATAGAGCATCGAAAAATATATAAAAAGGGTAGTGTCATAATTTTGTTTATTTTCAAAAAAGACCTCCACATCTGCTCAAAAACTTAGGCCATTTATTATTCTAATGGCCTTACTTTGAAGGCCAAATAGTTTGGATCAGTGTGATGAATGTCCCCAAACAAGGATTTCATATATTTAATGGGAGTGTAGAGGTTAAAATGGGCACTCCTACAGGTTTCATGATTTCTATCTCAACAACTGGTCAAATCAAGAAGTCGGCTCTAAGCATTTGTTACCTTTTTATTTTTTATTACTCGTTTTGAGAAACATATGGCATGTGTATGTTCTCACGTTTATATTTAAAGAATTACATTACACAATTTTTACTGTTTTTGGATTTATAACTTTTCACAATCCGAAAAATAAACAATGGGAAAGCAATAGATAACTTGCTAAAATGAAATAATAGTCCAGTCGAATTAGGATTTGACAAGGCAAACATTTTTACCGGAAACTTTTCTTGGAATTCTTTAGATGAGTTACTGACAGTCTAAATTCAAGTTGCCGGGATACCAGACTCGTTGTGTCATCTGTCATTTTGAATCTAAAGATTGACTTTTGATTATTGAATATCTCATTTATTTTCTTAAATTTAAGATGGCAGATGACGCAATGGGTTTGTTACCCCTGTAACTTAAATTAAGACTGCCGGTGACCCCCCAAATTCCAAAAAAAATTGGCAGTAAAAATGATTGCATTGCTGTCCCCTTTTTCAAACTAATTTGACTGGGCTAAAGACAAACTGAAAAGTTTACCCTAAAAGTTACTGCTTAATATAAGTTACTGAAGAGAAGGTTCAAAATGTAAAAGGTTATAAACCCAAAAAACAACAATAAGAAACACTCTTCCACAAAATGTCTTTTAAAATATATTGATGGATGTAGCCGTTACTATGTGGTAGAACATCATGAAAAATGAGAAATGAAAATTTCTATGTTTTTTACCACTTTTATTTGTAACTAAAGTTACTGCAGTTTTGTCTTACAAGGACATTTTCAAACTTATACGTTATACTTTTGAAGTACCTATATCATTATGCACTAAACTTCAGCTCAAAAATATTTGTTGACAAGATGTACTCATAACAATAAACATATATATCCTTATCTTTCTAGAAAGGTTCAAACTTCATTATTTTCACTATCAGGGCTCTGAAAGAATGTTTTCTTGTTAACATTAACCACAAAACTATTACAACTACTTTTTGCACTCACCTGGTAGACCTTTTTATTTCTTCTTTGCATTCATTAAAAAAGACTGAGAAGATTGTAATTGATTGGCTTATTTCTGCCGGTCTTTTTACATTTCTACCTTACATCTAGCTGATAGTTATATATTATTGTTACAGTACATATGTGCGAATTCATTACTAATTTTGTAAAAAAAATAGGCAATGCCATAAATAAATAAAATGTCTTATATTTTGGCTTGAATTTTATTGTTTCATAATTTCTTTAAAAAACCTTGGTCAAAATGGATATTTTTTTGCAAGTGAATGAAGATGCAGTTTTATCATCTAAAGTTTATACAAATCTTCCATTTGTAATTAAATTTATAAACACATTTAATTAATATTGTGATATTGCAAAAGACTTCATTGAGGCTTGTGTTGCACTCCCCCCCACCCCAGAAGATTTAAATTGAATATTAAAGTCGAAAATATACCAAATGAAAATATAATCTAAAAGATAAGGATTTTTTTCTGAAAATGAGCTAATCTGGCTGAAGGACACAAGTAAACCCCAGTTTTCAAGTAATAAGCTGGAAGCATCTAGTTTTTAGCTAAATTGAAGACATCTGTCAAGAAATTAACGTGATATCTGAAAATGGTGCGATGTCAAAAAAAAAATCTTATTTGTAATATCAGTATACTCAATCTATTTTAATAGATTGGTATCATGAACTTTTTCATTGTAACCGAATTTTTCCGAATCTTTCCTGAGTCAATTATTGAAAAAAAATATATTTTTCAAATTTCTTGATGATGAAATTTCGATGTGTTCAGGATTGGCAAAACATTGGTTTCTCTTAGATTACATTGAAATATTACCGAAAAAGATATGTGTGAATAAAATTGTCAGATCACTGAACAACTTAGCAATTGAGGATCGCAATGTCAAAATGTCCAAACATCAAACACGTGGCGAAGATTTTTCTATTTTCAATTCTCATCAAGCCCCACCCTATACGCGAAATCAAACATCATAAAGTGAAAAATTCTGAGGTTCTTACCACAATGTTGAAACTCTTTCAGCTACAAGTAAAAAAATGACTAGAAAATTGCAACTAAATCGACGTCCACTATGGCTCGTTTCTATACCAAATCAAAGTCAATAAATTGGCTATTCTTTCTTATGGTAGTGGAAAAAAAATCATTTCGCACGTGTGGATATCGTAGGTAGGGGACCAGCGCGAGCATACGGAACAACGTCATTAATATTCGCGGTAATTTCGAAATGTTTTCACGAAATTAATGTAAAAAACTTACCATTCTTTTGTACCCATGAAGTGAGAACTTTTTTGAATGTTTGAAATATTTCGGATGACAGCAGCTGTAACAAAAAACGAAACTGTCGCATTCAGACTTCTAGATGTACTGATGATAACATACGAGGCGGCTCCGAAAGTTGTCTTTCACGATTGTTGATAAAAATTTTCTTTTTTTGAGTCAAGTTACTTTGTGCTGATAAAAATGAAATCTTGAGAGAGAATTTTATTAATTTTGAGCAGTGAGAATCGTTAAAGCACCTAGATGTTTAAGTAAATGAAATCAAAGAAGCAATTTTCCATATGAAACGCCTTTTAGGAAATAAATGGGTATTTGTGCAATGAAATTTCAATAAAAATCATCAACATTTTTTTCTATAAAATTTATATTGATTCAAAAAACTGATTATCCATACTTGACGACTGAAACGACAGCTGACAGCTTTATGACACATGACAACTGAATATTATCTGGTTTTACGTTTTACTTATCTAGTGATGATGCCAATTGGGTTAGTGCAACGCACATCGAGAGATGGTATTTTTGTTCTCTCAAGTATTTTCCAGTTTCCAGAGGAGAGATTTTCAGTAAATAATTTTTTAGGCAAAGACAAACACTGTAGCTTTGGCCAAATCTTATACCTCTCACAAATATCATATGATTGACCCTTAACACTGCTCGCCTTCGAATCGATTTAGTATATATTATACTACAGTTGATTCAAAAAGTGCTTTTACGCTGCATTCAGTGCAACACTATTCGCTTTATTGGTCTGACGCAGCCATTTCCGAGGACTGATCATGACATTGAGGGCAACCACTTAGTAAAAAAATTGGATATCGAAAAAATGTTCAAATGATAATATATTATAAAGAAAAAAAATTAGGATGAAATTATGAAGATGAACGATGGAAAAAGATGCAAAAAAATTAAGATAAAATATTTCATTCATTCATTTAATTATTTTCTAATGCTCCAGCGCCCTCTGACGGCGTCGCCGATAGTGGCCCTCAATGACAGGGCATCGGTACAATGTCGATAGGTATCAAAGTAGTTCAACAATAGGTGGCAGCATTAACGGGACTCAAGCACAGAAAATTCTGTGCCTCAAGTAAGAAAAATTGTATGTGGATAAATCAACGCCATTAACTCATTAGTGACTAGATCACTGTCGTGGCAAAAATGAGAGAAAACTTGGCAACATTGGATGAATTTGCCTTCTACAATGAACCCAAAATACAAAATGAAAAGAAAAATTAATAAAAATAAAATGGTCGGCTATTTGATCGAAAGGTCAAGTGTTGATTACCTATTGCTATCTTTTTCCCGGCCTTTATTTTGATCGTTTTAAAACTCCAATGACAAGTAGCACGAGCTCAAAGTTCAACGATCAACCTCACAACCTAATGATATTCCAGAATAAGCTGTGATAGACCAGTTTCTCGATCGTTGCAAGACTCGCAAGTTCGAGTTCGTTTTTCATTTATCGACAATAAAATGGCAGATCTAAGATTCGACGGAAGAGTTGCTGTGGTAACTGGCGCTGGGGCAGGTCTTGGTAGGGCCTATGCCCTACTTTTCGCTTCTAGAGGAGCCAAGGTGGTAGTCAACGACCTTGGAGGCGGGCGCCATGGGGACGGGAGCTCATCCAAGGCCGCCGATGCAGTTGTCGAGGAGATCAAGAGAAATGGTATGAGAAGGAATAATAACTATTCTCAATTTTGATATCGAAACTATGTGTACTCACCTATAAAAAGTACCAAAAATTTGGTAGCTCTCTCTAATGAAAGACATCCAGCGTTACTATAGTTATGTTATCTGCAAATACTACTAAAATCTTTATTTTTTTGCATTAACATACAAGTGAACAGAATCAGGCTCAATACAGAGCCTTGTGGCATACCAATCTTTATGGTTATCGAATTAGATGACGGAGCAAATTATTTCATTTTCTGGATACTCAACACTCTTACAGTATCGGCAATAGAAGAATATAGCAGATTTTTTATGCATGGTATGCTATGCAAAAAATTAAGAGAGAGAAATACGTTTATTGTCCTAAGAAAGAGTTCTTGTTGACAAACGATTATGAACTGTGTCAAAGTAGTATAAAAGTAATTCCTAAAAGCCCATTTATATAAAATAGGGTGTCAAACACATTTTTACGAAACAAAATAAATGCTATACAATTTAAAATTCAAAAAATTTCCTTAAAAAAAATATGCTATATCATAGTGACATACAGTTGTTGTTGTAAAATTCATCTAAACTATAATAGGCTTTATCAATCAGAATGTCGCTTAATTTTTTCCTGAAAATATTCAAAGAATAACTCTTCAGGTATATGGGAATTTTGTTGTACATCTTTATTCCATTGTATATCAAAGAGTCCTGCACCATTGTTGTTGTGGGCGTTGGAAGTCTGATCAAGTTAGCTATCCTCAAGTTGTTATGCGATAAGGACTATCTCTAACTCTTCGGAATATCACTCTGCTAGAAAAGCATACTTTGCACTTTTCGAATCCCACTTGCGGTACGGAGTTTGTTTCTGGGGGAGCAGCTGTCAAAACTCAATGAGTCAAGTTTTCACAATTCAGAAAAGAGCAGTAGATTCATTACCAGAGCTACAGTACAAGATTCCTGTAAGCTCTTTTTCTAACTCATCACATGTTAACTTACAACATTTTTTATCACAGACTTTTACCATAGACTTTTTAAAGTGCGCTTGAGCCATATTAATATCTTGTTTTACTAAAAAGTTTGCCCTTCTACACTTGTATAAAGTTCTCCATTATAATTTTTATATTTTTTCAGATTGTGGAAGGTAACCATTACCCAAAAAAAGGTCGATAAAAATCTTGTTTTAATTCTTCACCCTTATTTTAATGTTTCAGATTGTTTTAGTTCTTGAGCCTGCTTTGTCAATAAAACCTAAACTTTTATAACAATAAAGCAGTTCTGACTCTGTCTTCGAAAGATAGAAAATAAAAATGCTTCAACAATATATCATCATATATTTCCTGTCTGGTGTAGACATCTAGTTTGTGAATGACATATTTAGGTACTAAACCGTCATTAAACAGATTCAAGCAATTGAGTGTGTGTAGTATATATAGGTGACCACATGAGACAGACATATTACAGATGGGGTCTAACAAATGAGTTGAAGAGAGTAATAAAACATTTTTTCTCTTTTGCAGGAGGTATTGCTGTCGCTGATTATAATTCTGTTGTGGAAGGAGACAAACTAATAAAGACCGCTTTAGACAATTTTGGTCGAATTGACATCCTTGTCAACAACGCTGGAATTCTGAGAGATCGAAGCCTTGCTAAAATATCAGACCAAGATTGGGGTGAGAGAACAAAAGTCAAGTTATTTTTTAGATAAGAGTAGCACACAAACAAGTACGAGACTGTCCAAATTACTGATAAATAAGTAATGCTTCAATTTGAAAGTGCTCATTTTTATTTCCATGAGATAATTGTGGCTATTTTTGCGTTTCACTGATTAACCTGTCAATATCCAAATTTTGATAGCAATGATTGATTATTATTTATTCATGTTCTTTGGACAATAAAGTATGATCCATCTCAGGAGGTTCTTTCTTCGGGGCTTCATGGAAACATTTCTTTTTTTAAATAGCATTTTCCAAACTAGTTATCATCACTTTCAGACCAACTTTCTGTGAACAATTTATGAAAAAAATTCAAAAATAGGAGTAGTCTCAATATCATATTGTAAATAAGAGAAAGTGATTGAATAACAGATGAAATTGTTAATGCTAAAATTAAGGATGAAATTTACAAACAATATCCATAGTTTCTTTTGAGATAATGTTTTCATATGTGCTGAGAATTGCATATTTTGGTATGGCTCATTGCCACATAAACTATGGAATACTGATATGGGGTGCTTCCTCACATGCAAGTGAAGTCTTCATTATCCAAAAAAAGATAATGAGAGATTCAGAAAATCTTGATTCCAGAACCCATGCTAAACCAATCTTTATAAAATGAGTCATACTTACAATACCTTCCATTTATATTCCAGAAGCAATATTGTTTGTATATAAAAATAAAAATAATAGTGGCTCTAGGATTCACAATCATAATACAAAACACAAAGACATCATCGGGCTACCGAAGATGCATTATCAAAGCACAGCCAAACAAACGGAGTTTGTTCCCATAAAAATATATAACACTTTGCCTAGTGAGTGGAAAGACCTTCATATAAAAGAATTGAAGTTCAAAGTAAACAATTTACTTGTCACCCTAACTTTCTATAAGATTGATGAGGTATTCAATTGTCAGTGATCCTAATATATGTGGGTATGTGTGTATACATGTGGGTATGTGTATATACATGTGGGTATGTGTGTATACATGTGGGTATGTGTGTATACATGTGGGTATGTGTGTATACATGTGGGTATGTGTGTATATATGTGTATGTGTGTATATATGTGGGTATGTGTGTATACATGTGGGTATGTGTGTATACATGTGGGTATGTGTGTATATATGTGGGTATGTGTGTATATATGTGGGTATGTGTGTGTATATGTGGGTATGTGTGTATATATGTGGGTATGTGTGTATATATGTAATATATATAATTGTAATTTGAGGTCAATAAAATTTCTTTCTTTCTTGAAGATCTGGTGCATAATGTTCATCTGAAAGGTAGCTTCAAAACCACACAGGCTGCTTTCCCCATTTTCAAAAAGCAAGGCTACGGAAGAATCATCATGACAGCCTCGAACTCTGGTCTCTATGGTGAGAATTATCAAATATAAGCTAGAAGAATTTTCTGAACAACTTCAATTGAAACTTGTAGGAAACTTTGGTCAGGCGAATTATTCTGCGGCCAAAATGGGTTTGGTTGGTCTGGCAAATACGGTTGCCATTGAAGGAGCCAAAAGCAACATTTTCTGCAATGTTATCGTACCGACTGCAGCTAGCAGGTTGACGGAAGATATCCTGCCTCCGGAGCTCTTTGAACAGCTGAAACCTGAGTTGATTGCACCTGTCGTGGTGAGTGTCGTAACTTTAGTATATTAATAATAATGGAGCAGGATCGAACCTATTCTGCTGGCCATGCCTGCTGATGGGGACTCAATTGTTGGTACATTTCCTCGATTTTCTCATAATAGAACTCTGCTGTGATAGTTTGGCCCGGTTTCTAGGACGATTCTAGATTGCACTTTGAATTTTTTCGCGGTGCTACTCTACAAAATGAAGTGGCACTGCGATATATAGCCCAATCCCAAGTTTCCAGTATTTTTCAATCTATTGAACATTTCAGTTTCCTGAGGAAACTCATAATGGACAATGTTAATATACAATGATATACTAGTTTATTAAAGTTTGCTATTAGTTTTATCATTACTATTTCTCATTTCTTGTATTGCAATGATTCATGTTTGTGTAAGTGCAAAGTTTTTCTTAACATTTTTAAAATGTTCTCATACAATAGTCATAACTTTCAGACCTTCGAATATGAGGATAGTTTTTTCTAATTTATTTTAGTATTCCTAGATATTTTTTCAATATATAAAAACAAATTATGTTATACTGCTTTTTTAATATTTCAAACTTTTCTGGTATTATTTCTTTCATGTGTAATATATCTCTTCAGTATGTATTGTGTGTTTAGATAAAAAATGTCTATATTTCTGCAGATAAATCTTCTACTCTGTATTTTAGCTATTTTAATGTGATTTGTACTTGATATGTATAATATATGTGTGTATATGAGTATATATAGTTGTATGGTTACTGAAGAAAATTTATAGCTTTGTCAATAAAACCTGTGGTTCTTTGGGCATACTAGTATTATCGGTGGAACAACAGATTGTTGAATATTAAATACTTTGTCAAAATGGTTTTTTTATCATTTTGATTGTATACTTTGCCAAACGATCTATCTTGAATTTGAATAAGTACAAAAAACACAAGAACCTGATGACTGTTCATACACACTTGATTTCCAGCATTGAAGATTTTGTTTTTTGTTCATTTAATATCAATTTACTTAGTATACATCAAGACCTTGCTTTTTTTAACATTACATTAACAGACAGCCACTGCAATGTACTTAACATGTTTGATATACTAGAATACTTATTCACTTGTAAAATAATCCTCATTCCACGATTCTGTAACTTTTGTAAAGCCGATACCTTATTTTGGTCAAATGAGTATAACAGACTAGCACAATAATCAAAATGGGGTTGGATTATACAGTTATATAATGTAATTTTTGAGTACATCGAAAGCTGAGATGAAATTATTGAAAAAAAATTTTTAGTAATTTTTCTATATATATAATCAAAATGAGCATGAACAGATATGTGGTAAATCATTAGTATACATGAAAAACAGTAGGGGGTTCAAGATGGAACCTTGTGGCACTCCTCTGATTAACTTGATACCGATTGAAAGATAAAAGTCTTACTATTTTTTTACTGAAAAATTATAGAATATACGGCGACAGAAAGATGAAAAATCCACACCCTCTGGATGTTTCAGCTAGAAAGTTATCAATTTCGCTGTTATCTTCACCTCACAGACAAGCCCTAAATAATGAACACTGCTTTAACATCCCTCCAACTACTATAACTCAATTTTTAGGCGTACCTCTGCCATGAGAGCTGTCAAGAAAACGGTTCCATCATCGAATCGGCAGCCGGCTGGGCGGGCAAGTGCTCCATCTTCAGGGCGAACGGTAGCCTGCTGAGGAACGCCATTGAAGAAGGCGTCACCGTGGAAGCCGTCCGCGACAGGTGGCAGAAAGTCACCAACGTCGCAGATTCCACGAGGCTGGACTCCATCCAGGACGCGACGGGCGCCCTGATGGCATCCTTGGAAGGACTGAACGGCGGTAACAGAGAAAACGAAGGAGACGAGCAGCCAGACGTGTACGAATTCACCAGCAAGGACATTATTCTGTATGCCCTTGGAGGTGAGATTGTAGTTTAGTACCTTGGGAGAACGTGGGGATTTACCTGAAAAAGATTGAAAGAACATACTACATAACTCTCGTTGTTTCTTTCAGTGGGTTGTAGTTCAGTACGTTGGGAGAACGTGGATGTTTAGGTGAACAAGATTCAGAGAACATATTACCTAACTCGTTGTTTCTTTCAGTGGGGACTTCTCTGGGCAACGAAAACGAACTGAAATTCCTCTACGAGAACCACGAGACTTTCGAGTCTTTGCCAACTTTCTACATCATGCCAGCGATGCAGGCGCTTTTTTCTTCTACTGCCATCTCGAAATCGGTTCCGGGCAAGGAAATCGGCCTGGAAAGCATCCTTCACGGAGAGCATTTCATCGAGATACTCGAAGATTTGCCGCAAGAGGGAAAACTGGTGTCGAAGACCAAAGTCACCGAGGTTTTGGACAAGGGATCGGGAGCTGCTATTGTTTGTGACGGTAAGTCATCTGTTTGGCGATCTTTACATTTTTAATTTCTAAATTCAGTGTTATGACGGCGAAATGGGGCCAACAAACATTCAAACTAAAAAGGGGTCGACATATCGAAAAAGTGAGAAGTGTAAAAGTTGTTTGACAAAAAGGACGGTTTTAAAATTTGTCAATTGATTCTTTGACAAATATTCTATTTTTGTCTAATGTTTCAACTAAATTTATTTAGATTTACATATTTGTTCCTGCCTGAAGTGAATGTTTTCTTTTGTTTTTTATTATATTTTCAATTTATTTTTTGTCTATTCCCCGGTGCTAAAAGGAATCTCCGTCTATTCTTCATACCAAATTCTGAGGCAACCATTTTGTTTCTCCAATATATAGTATGAAGATCAATTATTATTATTGTTATTGTTAAATGTGTCATTTGACATAATTTAAAAGTGTAACCTGACAAGTTTCAGAACTATCAATTTATGAATTTAGAAGTGTCAATTGACAAATTTCAAAACTCTGCATTTGGTAAAATTGGTTTTGAAACTGTCAACTAACAACTGTTAATTGACCGTTATTGTCGAGTGACAAATTTCAAGTGTCGGTGATTGTTAAAAGTGCATTAACAAATTTAAAGTGCCAATTGAAAAATGTGTGACAATGTTTCCATTGGCATTAATATATAAAAACTCACCATAGTTTTTTATTTTCTTTTGAAGTTGAGACATTCAACGAGAACGGCCAGCTGTTGTTCCGCAACCAGTGTGTCACATTCGCTGTCGGTGCTGGCAACTTTGGTGGCCCCAGGACAGGCATCAAAGCCGTCTCATGTCAGCCGAAACCCAAAAGGAAACCAGACCTTTCCCTCTCTCACAAGACTAATATTGATCAGGCTGCTTTGTACAGGCTATCAGGTGAGCATTTTTACTATGTTGCTGGTTGTTTTGTTAAGTATAAGTCAAACTCGACAGATTAGGCTCATTGCTGCTGTTTTGAGTCTGATGAGAAATTGTACCTACTAAACTTGATGACAATGTTTCTTTTCGATTGTTTTTAGAATATTGACAGTTATGTTTATGAATACTTTGTTATTACTACTACTATTGTTATTACTATGTATTAGTATTAAACTGAAATTATATATATTCTTGATATTATATGGATGTAGTTAGGCTAATCAGCTTGTTTGGATAAATAAAAAAATAAATAAAACGTGATGGAATTGGCGAAGAATTAGGAGTTGAGAAAAAAGGAAATGAAAACAGTTGAGTGGTGGAATATTGAGAGCGGAAATGATATAGTCGGGAGTATGATTGTTAAAAAATGGTAGACAAAGACAGATCATAAAATGGGAGAGAGTGATGTTGAGAGAGAGAAGGGTGGAAGGAGGAAGTTGAAGAGGAATAAAAGGGGAAAAGGGAACCAGTGAGATCAAGAGTGGTGAAAGTGTGAACAAAGAAATATTATTGAAGAGGAGTTGATGGAAATGATAAAAAAGGGAACAGAAAAACGATTGAAATTTGAGAATTCAGGTTAAGGAGCGAGATTTTGGGAATAATAGTAATTAAAAGGCAGTTGACAGATTTAAAAAAATTATCTAAGTAAAAAAGTTGTGTGAGAAAAAAGAGGAAATAATAAGAGAAAATAGTGAAATGTGTTGAAAGGGTGTAAGAAAACATGAGAAAATGGAAGAAAATTGGTTGGTTTACTAATAAGTGAAGAATGTAAAAATAATTTGAGAACAAGAAACACAAGACAAATGTTGAAAGAAAAGAACAAAATTAATTCTAGAGATAAACGAATAAATAGGTAGAAAGTTCAAAAATACAAAGAACAAGAGATGATTCGAAAGTTTAAAATGACATACTGAAAATTTGCAAGTCTTCTATCTCTCTAATAATTTAGGAGAGTTAGGATAAAAAAGAGGTCAATTGTTGAATAATTGAATTTGGGGGAATATTACCTGAAAAAAAATTAGGGAAAGTGTTTGAAAGACAAAAAAATTTTTAGGACCTAGTTGAAAATAGAATATAGTTAAGAGGGTAAATGCTTCAGTTATTCAAGATATGATTTATTTATCTACGGGTAACCTCAATTTGTATTCACGAATTCAATACATTTTAGGTATGGTAAAAGAGATCTTACAAACCTCGCATCTTATTACTACTAAAGCTAAAGTATATTGTAATTAGAACTTTCTTATATTAAGTTATTGCATGAATTACAGTTATGAGGTACTGATAGAAAGTGGAGAATTTTTACGATAAAATGAAAGAAATATCAGAGAAGATGTAGAACGAACAAGTTGACAGATATTGACTGTTTGACATTCGACATATCAGTGACATTGATGAAAGAGAGGAAAATGGATGGATGCTGAGAGAAATGAAATGAATATGAGTTTAAAGCAGAAACAAATCAATTGGTTAACAATACACAGATGAAGAAAGGGTTACAATGTATTAGAAATAGTAATAAAACTGTTTCATTTCTTTTTTTGATGACCAGGAGACAACAATCCATTGCACATCGACCCTAACATGGCACGTTTAGGCGGATTCGAAACACCAATCCTGCACGGGTTATGCACCCTGGGAATTTCAGTGAGGCTTGTGCTTTCGGCTTTCGCTTCCCACGACACCAAACTCTTCAGATCCGTCAAGGTAAATATTTGAAAATAGGAAAGGTTTTCATTTTCACATTCTATACTATCTCACCCTGAGAATGAATGAACAATTCGCCGAAACAAGGATAGATTTGAATGTTTTTCACAGGCTAGGTTTGTTAAACCCGTCATTCCAGGTCAGACTTTGAGAGTGGATATGTGGAGAGAGGGCAACAGGATTCTCTTTGAAACTTCCGTGGCTGAAACCAACACAGTAGTTATTGGAGGTAAGTGGTTTCATTATTGTATAGGTCAGCTCGTTTAGTATCCCCAGTCTGAATTTCTGCAGGGTAATTTTAGGGATTCCATTAAGAACACTCGATCTTTGTTTCATTCGCAACTCCATTTTCATAAAGTTTCTAATAAATCTATTTAGGATTTGCTCTATGTCCAACTAGGTTATGTCTTGGAGAATTACACAGATCTCTTGAAATATGCAATAGATTTATTCAAAATAACCCAAACATATTTAATAAACAATGTAATTTTGGAGAAATTATCACATGAATATGTCATAGTTGGTGTGCCACATGGTTCAGTTATTTAAACACTGTTGTTTTTTCTGTACATCATCGACCCTTCACAGCATTTGGCAGATGTATATACACACATCGGAAAAGTCTAGGGATATTTTTATAACATACTAAATATCATAAAAATAAATGCATGAGGTCGTTTAATTTCAATATATGAATATGGGTTTATGTATTATTTTTATCCCGAGAATGAGGTGACCAGTAAAAAATTAAGTTCTTTTGAAAGAAGAAGTGAATGTAAAAACTTAGGGTGGCAGCAACTGCGCCCCCCAACAAAGCTTCTGTTCACTACGGACAGGAGGAGCCCTGCCAAATGCGCTCGAATGATAAGCAACGGTCATATAAACTAGAGAAAGAGAGAAGAAGCATTTCATGTTACGAAACGAAGAATTTATATTTGGAATTTTGTTGAAGATATATTTGATCGAGTTATACTAACTGTACTTTGTACTGTTTTACAAAAATCATATACATTTTGGAACGTGGTTTGGAAGAGTGGGAGGTCAGACTCGATGGAAGTGGCGTTAAAGTCATTTTTGGAGCTTCGATTTCTGTCAGAAATGAAAGAATTTGATGTTACTTTTCGATCAATGAACTATTTTCTTGCAGAACTAACGAATTATATTGATTTTAACAATTTTCGGAAAGTGTGAAAGTCTATTATAACCCAATTCGGCATCATCAAGACTTATTGTCAATGGAATAGTATCCTTTATCCAAATTATCCAAGCCACGAATGTTAGTGAGAACGTTTAATTGATAGCATTCATTCGACTACACCTCATTGTTAACTTCTCCTAGTTCCCATACAAGTTTTCGACTAACATTCAACTATTGTCTAAGGCTTATCAGTATAACAACTAATTTTCATGTACGAAATTGTTTAATTACCCCCAAAACTACCAAACTACTTTGGGATAAGGGTAATGAAAGATACCATGTCGGATATCAGGGACAGGAATCGCATTAGGATGCTACGGGGTGATTCACAAGAACGATAAACAAGTCTGTGATTATGAAGAAACGTGAAGTGTCTCAAATAGTTACTAACATTATTAGAGAAAACAGAATCCGTGTTGATATGCCGTGTTCAAAAGTGACTTGTAGGAGCAAAAGTCTATTCACTCTACACTGTACAATATTGGCCCTCGCAGTCAACGCACATGTTTACCGTAGTAGCAGACGAAACGTTAAACATTCGGTACTAAGAGTGCCTTCACACCACGGTCTGCCAGCCCGGATTTTTTTCTCTGTTATCGTAATTTCGACCATGAAAGCTTATGTTCTGATGTAGTTAATAACATTCGAAATTTTTTTGTACTTGTTTTTACACATCTATATCATGGTTTGAAATAATACTTTTTGGAAGACTTCGACTTCGGAATACTCATTTCTCTGGTATTTCAGTTGATAACTCATTTCAGTTTGTCAGTAATGCAGATCAGTAGATGAGTAAAAGGTTCTAGAGAATGGCCTACTAGTTCACTTGATATACCTCTGTATGTTTTTTAGGAAATACACAACGACCGAATCGCTTTCTGAAAATGGGAAAGTGTTGAGTAGAAAATTGAATTTCCAATCAGAAGGAATGTCACCAAATGGACAAGAGTCCGCTTGGTGGCGAGATACGCAACACTCATTTCTTTTTCATCAAGAAGTGATGACTTGACATGAAGAGGGAAATACACTATTCATGTCCACATTATATAATAACTGTTTGTGATTATATTAGCTCAGAAATTGGTTTCGAAAAATGAACTGTTGGAAAATATTGGGGTGATATCCGTTATTCCCAAAAGTAATGGCGAAAGAGAAAACGATACTTAAAATTAGGTCAAGAACGAGAACATTAAGGGACTTCGATTCCTCGTGGTCGTCTGCGTGAAGAATAGTATTGGAAAAGTATCTTTCTGAGGAGTGGATTCGGGAAGCTCCGTTGAAGGAAATCTTCGCTCTTGATAATGACATTCATAAAACAAAACACTTCTGATGTCCACAAATATATTATGCGTTATTTTCAATGACGATTACTTCGACATGAGCACTGGAGTTCATCCCGTTGGATACTTAAAGTCAATATATCGGCAAATATGTTCATTGGTAATACGCTGTTTTTTTCCTTTTAGAAGGTCATGAACGTTTCTTGCGGGTGGAACGTTGCTTTGGCCCCTTAATGCTCGATACAGCGCGAAATATGCGCGAAATAATAGCAAAGGGGGTCGTGCCACACGTGCAGAAGGGGTGCTGGAGGGGGATAATATTTTCATACTGTAAATTGTCAATTCAAGAATAAAAATCGACCAGTTTCAGGTTTTTTTCACATAATACATAATAACGCTAAAAATGAATTCATTCCATACATATGGACCGCACTGTATACAGTTTTCGAGTAACCCCGAAAACTTTCTCCTATTCAGGAGTCGGTAATTTTATGAATAAAAGACAGGTGATCTGAGGCAAGCTTGGGAGCCTGGGTATGCGTTTGTTTGTCGGATTTCTTTGACCTAGATACCGAGTCTTGTTGCTTGTATCCGTGTCTTGTAGAATCCCTTGAAGCAGATGTTGTCTTTCAGCTTCGCGGTGCTCTGGTTTACGAATACGTTCAACTCGTTGAGTAGGAGACTTGAGGACAGCTTCTTTATATCCTGGATACAGATTAAAACTGAAGAGTAGACAACTGTTGGCATGCGCGGGTTTCCTGTCCAGTCGTCCATCTGATTTTTCAGGCACAAAGACGTCTACGAATAGAAGTTAGTTATCTGTTTCGATCTCAAATGACTCAGCAACACAACCACAAGCAGCCAAACTCTGGGAAGTGACCGATCTGACTGCGGAGCCTTCTCTTCGAATGTTTTCATGAACAGGTTGGCGACGGTGGACTGGAAGGGGTTCCCAAGGTGACACCGTCAATTTGTTTGTAGGATATGTCATCACATTTAAAATAGGTGGACGCCAGCACTAGTTCAAACAATTTGGTGATATCTGTAGGAACGAGACCTCGCAGAATATCCAGAGTTTCAGATAAGGGTACATTTGCGAAAAGGAAGACAATATCAAAACTCACCTGGGAGTTTCCCCGACTGGAGGGAACTCCCGGGAGAGGGTGAGGAAGGATGTCCAAGATTTTCGACGAAATCCATGAAATCCCTGGGAAAAAAGGTGCTCGTATGTCCGATAAATGAATCATTTCTTCATAAGGTCGAAATACAAGCACTACAGAAAAATCCTTGTGACGCTCTAGGAGCAGTTCCTGTGCGGAAGTAGTGATTCACATTGAATTTGAATCGCTGGAGATTAAATTAATTTGAAAGAACGTTCTCACGTCCTCCAAATGGAAGAGCCCTTAACGAGTGGAGTTCGAGGTGTACCGAGTTGAACATCAAAATGATGAGCAGCCACAGTCCGTCGCGTATTTCTGTTATGTGCCACCTGAACACTTCCCGTGAAATTATCTATAGGAGAGAGACAAATCCCCAACTTTTTTTGCAACAAGGTTGCAAGTGATGTTCGCGTCTCCAATCAGGCGGATGGCTCTTTTCTGACTGAAATACAGCAGCTTCAGGGTATGCTTAGAGGCGGATTCCATACATGAGAACAATAGTCCAGAGAAGGTCTAAACTGAGCTTTATAAAGCATCAAAAGTTGCTGAGGTGTGTACAGTTTTCTGGTTCGTAACAGTGTTCCAAGCTTTTGAGAAGCAGCCTTTGCAATTTCAGCGACATATTTGTGCCTAGACATATTGGTGTCCAATTTTAACCTTCAACAAACTTATCGAAGCACAAAGCGTAATTGTCTATCCCGACATTATCTTATCCGGTTCGGAGATAATTAATTTTTTGGGGAGAACCGATGCGTGGGTTCTTTCCCAGTTCATCTACTCTGATTCTTTATTATATAACAGAAAGAGGAAATAATAAACAAAGTCAAAAAAGTTTCGAAATTGAGTATTTCACTTGAATATGCGAATTCAAACTCATCATACACAGACTGATTCATATTCATAAGTCCAAAATTGGAGAATTCCATATCATCATACATCAACACAAATTAATTCCTTTTCCAATGGATTTTGACAATCGGGCTGATAATCCCATTTATTCGAATCCCTTGATGGTTGAAAACTCATTTTACGTCGTATCCTTTTTGTAGGCTTATCTGTTGGCTACTGCTTCGACGATATTACAGGGGATTTCAGATTGAAATAGATATGAATGATGATTTATCATTGATTTTTGAAACAATTATTGGTCAACAGTTGAATAGTTCACCAAAGACCTCGAATAATTTCATTCGTTGTTTACTATTTCAGTAATTACGATGAAATTATGAAATTGAAGAGGTATTCTTGACCTGATTTTCAATGCAATAGCTATAACACGTTTTTCAAAATTCATCAATTTAAAATTACTTTCTATTATCACTTTCTAAGATTATGAAGCACTCTGGATTCCATGAATTTCTTTATTTTTTCTCCCTTTTTCATCCAAAATTCTCCTCAGAGATTATCAGTCAAGTATCGTTCAAAAATATTATGAAAATTCCCCTTATACATAGTAAATAGTAAAAAGTCAACTTCCTCATTTGAAAATACTTCTACTTGTCTCTTTACGGTGTGTCTATGTATCCTGCTGATGAGACTTTCTGTCCTCTCTGAAAAACATAATCATTACGAGAAAAGTCTTTTATTTAGGTATTCGACGGTTCACTGTGACAATGTGAGAAATCATCTGCTTTTGATGAACAC